TCATGTGTGCTGGACGTAGAGCTAAATCCACCACTCATCTCCTCTCCCGCAGTTGCATTGCCCTTGTTCTCCGGCACAGACTCCACTTGACGGGTTGCTCGTTGCTCCTCTGTATTCTGTGGACTTTGCCTCTGCTGCCGTCCTGGACTTGAATTCTGCAGTGTCCTGTGCGTCCCTGAGCCTGCCCTCCAGGGCAGCCCCAGCACTGTGTGGGGTCTTTGGTTTTACCCCTGCATCTTGTTCCGAATCCACCTCAAGCCTGGCCATACCAGGGCACACCCCTTAACTGCCTCCTTGCTTGGCCATCAGCCCTCCCTGGAGCATCAGTCATGCTGGGGATTTTCGGTTTGTTTTTGGCACCAGCATACTGGATCTCATGTTGCCACTTGTACAAATACAGTCTGGCTTCTTAGATCCCCTATCAGCTCCTCAGGTAGGCAGGAGGGCTGGGTTGTACAGTTATTTCCATCACCACATTTACAGGTGCTCGGGACAGACGAGCTCTGTGTTTAGACGATGGTCAGCTGTTCCTTATGTAGCATGCTTAGACTGTGCCTCTCCCTAGCGTCCGTGCCTCTGCTGTCTCCTCCAGCTAGAATTTGTCCTTTTCACCCAGTACAGTGCTCGGAACAGAGTGCATGTGCATGATGCGTTTACTAGGTACATGAAAGAAGCCTTAAGACACACACTAAGTATCTTGAAGCGTGTGGTTTGCTCGTGCCCGTGGTAGGTGTTCAGGAGGGAGCAGAGAAGATGATGTGACTTTTGTGGCCTGAGACTCATTTGACTTGCAGTGCCTTTTGTCAGGGACCCATGGGCCTCTCTTAGAGATACTGCTCCCTGGACTACAGCCTGTGAGGTGGTGGCCTAAAACAGGGATGGCACTCAAGTGGGTGATGAATCTCCGTCCTGGATTCTAAGCCTTTCAGGCAGGCTCTGATTTTCAACTCTCTGTGCCATGCATTTCGGAAGGGCTGCTCAGGGCCACTGGACCAGCAAGGTGCACTGTTCTGGGCTCCGCAGTGCGCCCAGCTCCTTCGGGGCATTCGCTTGGCAGCCCTCTCCCACTGTCTGCAGCTCTTTCTGCTCGGAAGGAAGTCACAGAGTCCCAGTCTGCTGCGTGGTGCAAGCCTCCCATGGCTGCGTTTCTACTCTTGAGACCGTCCATATTTGACGTAGAAGACACCCAGCAAATGTGTAGAGAATTGAATTCAGTTGTCAGAATTTGTCTCATTAAGTTTTTGAGTTGGGATTTGGAGCTGCAGTTCACTCTGGATTAAATTTGAACGTGATTTCCAGCAGGTTACTTTGTAGTCATGGCATTTTGAGTGTGAGAGTATCCATATGTGTAAAGGGAAGTGGCATTTGTGAGTCTGCGATCTTGGTACGTGAATGCCGCCCTTTGGGGAGTGCTCCCTCTGAAGAGAGCACAGGAGGAAGTCAGAGGAAGTAGCATGCCATCTGCAGTATGGTGGTTCTGTTGTGTTTGGTTTTGCAGTTTTTTTTTTTTTTTTTTTTTTGGACAGGTAGAGTGGACAGTGAGAGAGAGAGACAGAGAGAAAGGTCTTCCTTTGCCGTTGGTTCACCCTCCAATGGCTAACACGGCCGGCGCATTGCACTGATCCGATGGCAGGAGCCAGGAGCCAGGTGCTTCTCCTGGTCTCCCATGCGGGTGCAGGACCCAAGCACTTGGCCATCCTCCACTGCACTCCCAGGCCACAGCAGAGAGCTGGCCTGGAAGAGGGGCAACCGGGACAGAATCCGGCGCCCTGACCAGGGCTAGAACCCGGGGTGCCGGCGCCGCAAGGCGGAGGATTAGCCTAGCGAGCCGCGGTGCCGGCTTGGTTTTGCAGTTTTGCTTCCTGCTCCCTCACATCACTGCTCCCAGTGTAGGCGGCTGCTTTATGTCTCTTGCTCATGAACCCAGTATGTCTCTGAGATCCAAATCGCTGAAGTTCTTAAGAGGGTTTATGCTAAGAGGCTTCTTGTTTTTGCTTTACAGCCTGACATTTGGGCTTTTTCTGACCATTTGTTAGCATAAAAGGGAAACATCTGCAAAATGAAACTGGAGAAGTTGGTGTCCGCCCGCCTGTGGGCTGGGTACCTGTGCTAACTGTGAGCGCTGGTGTTTGGGAGGCCAGCTTGCATTTGCATGGATTCTCCCCATTGTCCTTCATGAACCAAATTGTCTGCGAACCCCTGGCTGTCTGCAGGGTCCCGATGACACCAGTGACCCTTCGCCAGCTGCTCTGCCAGAACTTCAGTGCGGTCAGTTGTGCATCACGCAAATGTTCCTGAAGGTGTCTGGGGCATCTCACAAACACTTAGGAGTTCAGTTTCCCGAGTTTGGCGGCTGCTCGTGCTGTGTAGGCTTCCTCGGTAGGAACTGTGTGGTCTGTGCAGTGTTGCCGTGCCTGCTGCAAATGATGCTTTCTCATCTGGGACTTAGTTTCCTGCTCTGGGCACCAAAGCTGCATTCCTGGCTGTAGCAGGGACCATGATCTCCCAGCAGGAGCTGCTCCTGCTTCAGGAGTGCTGTGCAGTGCTCAGAGCAGTCCTCCCTCTGGTGACCACTGAGTTGTGGTCCTTACTCTCGTACCTTTCTTCCCTAAAGGGGAATTGTCCGGCCTGTGTAGTTCACAGCCGTAGGCGCAGGGGCTCCTGCCACAGCTGCCCGATAATGTTCACTTCTGCAGTCTCTGCTCATGGGCTGGGCCACAGCCGTCTGTGCAGGGAGCTGAGCATGCTCACAGCCCGTGAGGTTCCCATGTGACCTGAGGGTGCCAGCAGATGAGTTTCCTTCAGACACCCCAGCATGCTTGCAGTGGAGTTTGGGCTTCCCTTGAATGTGGTGCTTTCCTGCTGTTGAGAAGGAGCACGGCCTCGTGGACAGGTGTCACTCCGGAGTGAGAAACGGCCATTCTGAAAATCCCCACACATTAGCCTTGAGGCACTCGTGCACACATTCTGTAGCATTTATTGATGAAGAACTGCCCTGGCCACCCTACAAGGTAGAGAGATACACTCAGTGATTCATTAGACCAGGAGTCATCAAAGTATGTCCTTGGAGATAAATCTGGCTCACTGCTGATTTTTAAAAATATATTTTGTTGGACTATCACCAGACTCATTCATTTATGCATTGCCTGTGACACCCACAGCCTAAATTATTCACTGCCTGTCTCTACAGAAAAATTTTGCTGACCACTGCGTTAGGCTTACTATGGAGAATATTAAAAAAAAAAAAGTAATTACCTGTGTTGCACCACAGACAATTAAATTAGACTTTGGGGTGAGGGTTTGGGAGTTGGTCCAAGAACCAGTGTGTTTAAAAGCATCCCAGAAGAATATAACGAGCAGACAAGGTTAAGAAACACTAAAGATAACCACTTACCCATGAGGTGTGTGTGTCTTATGGGGGAGGAGGAAGTTCACAGAAAGGAAAGATAATACTACAGCGACTTCTATCACAGAGAACTCAAGAGGTCCCTGGGAGCCCTGCGTGGGGAGCAGTGCACTTCCTTAAAGAGGTTTTCACAGGTGGGACGTTCCAGTGGATTCTCACAGGACAAATCCACGGTGTGCAGGATCCACTTGGGCGGTACTGGGATGGTGGTTCTTAGACAGCAGCAGGTGTCGAGACTCATAGGAAGGAGAGCAGCCCGTTATGGGATGACCAGCACTCAGAGTGGCCAGGCTGGTGAGCATGGGGAGGAGAGTGAATCGGAGGGTAGAAAGCTGGGAAAGCTGTCGGGGGAGAGCTTCGTATGCCAAGATGAGAGGTTTAGAATTCGTGATGTTCACCACGGGATAGGATAGAAACTTGGTTCTGTCTAGGCCTCAGCTTTCCTTTCTGTGTTAGGTGTGGCTGGGTCAGGTGATCAGCAGCCCTGAGGTGCGGCTGGGTCAGGTGATCAGCAGCCCTGGGGTGTGGATGGGTCAGGTGATCAGCAGCCCTGGGGTGCGGCTGGGTCAGGTGATCAGCAGCCCTGGGGTGCGGCTGGGTCAGGTGATCAGCAGCCCTGGGGCGCGGCTGGGTCAGGTGATCAGCAGTCCTTTTCCTCTGAAACATGGGCTCCTGAGATTCTGTCAGGTGCATCTCTGGCTGCTTGCAGGGCTGGGAGTGTTGTTGGGGCTACAGGAATGACCTGGCCCTGCTGGTCTGCAGCTGCCCCATTGCTGATCATAGCATGAATGGAATCAAAGCTGCTTTGTGGATTCATCAGAAAGGCGTGACAAGGCAGACTCTGCAAGGCAGTCCGTGTGGTCAACATGGAGAGTGCTGCCTGATGGAAAGACACGTGTGCACTACTTTCTCCATACATGGAGAGGTGCCACAGGACGGGGACAGCATCGTTACCCATCAGGTTCCTCGGAGTCGGCACTCAGGCCTGTCGGGTTGACATCTCTAACTCTTCATTCTCAAACCTTGGTGTGTGAGTTACAAGATCTTCAGTATGACTGTGTTACCACTTCATTTTACTGCAGTGTGACTTCTCACCTGCAGCAGGTCTACCACACTGTGGCAGCTGTGCCTACCTGTACCTCTGAAACACTGCGTGTTACTGGCTTCCCAGGCTAAGTGAAGTAATTCAGGTTCTGTCACAGGGTCTCCCGACACACACGGAACAGCCGTGATTCAGAGGATAATGTGCGGTGGGCTCCGTGACGCAAGATCCTTGGACTTAGTCTTCGTTGTGCTTTGTTTTTATCAAACACAGGTAGACACATGCACCAGAATTTCAAAAGGTATTTAGAATGGGGCACAATGATAGAGACCTATTTGAAACTCTAGGAAGATGTTTTGTAAAACACACACACACACACACACATACACACACAAACCCTCATGTGATTTCTGTCATTAGAGCATCAAACGTTCCCATTAAAGGGGGTTCTGGGTGCCGTTGGGTTGGTAGCTGTGCCCATCCCGTCCAGGACAGTTGCAGGGGACTCCAGAACAGGGGCCACCGCTCACCTCCCTGCCTTCTTCTCTGCAGACATGGACGAGTGTGCTGAGGGGCGCCACTACTGCCGCGAGAACACAGTGTGTGTCAACACCCCCGGCTCCTTCATGTGCGTCTGCAGGGCGGGCTACATCCGCATTGACGATTACTCATGTACAGGTGAGTGGTGGCATTAAGTTGTTTATATGCCTTAAGATTACTTTCAAAAGTTGCACTAACTCTGTTTTTTCAGTAAGCATGCTGTAGCTATTCCGACACAAGCAGCCATCAGCACAGCCTGTCCGCTTGGTTTGGTGGTAAAGAGTGAGTCTTGTGAGGAGAGGAGTACCAGCTGGCTGGGCCTGTTCTGAACCCCTTGATGGGGAGATAAAAGAAACGCTAAGGGGCCACAAAAACTCTGTCTCCTGGCAGATCTGGATGGTGTTTCCTTTATGTGACAGTAGAGTTTTGAGTAGAGGAAGAATGCCATTAACGGTATGATGGTTTTCAGAAGTAGATTCTCGGAGGTCTAGGGCTTGGGCACATTAGGTAGAGCCAGGCTTCGTCTAGAGTCCAGGAAGTACAGACAAGGGGCAGCTCCAAGAAGTTTTCTCTGGTTCTGCTGGAGGAAATTCAGCCCCTTCTGTGCCTTCCGGAATCCTGCTAGGGGTGTCGTGAGCATCAGCAACATCTGAAGTGGGTCCTCGGGTTCCTTCCTACAGCATGGCTTCAAGCATGCCCTGGAGACCATGGAGTTGAGTGTGAAATAGGATATTCCTTTGGAATTCAGATGTTTAAAATAGAAGAAACACAAAAATAACCTTTTTTAAAATACAGATCATAAAACTAGAGAGCACCTGAAAATATCATTCCTGCCACTTGTTACCTCCAGCTCCAGAATCTGTATTGGATGGACATATGAACAGTGCCTAGAGGTTTCCAGGGGAGAGGGCCGGTCGTACTCCCTGGTGAAAGTACACGTGTGTAGTAATGGTGTCCCTTCACCTCACTGTGTTGGTTGTCTGCTCCTGCGTCTTCATTGTGGCCTCTAAGTCATCTGCTGATTCGTGTCTTGATGATTACATTTAGTATTTATATAAAATCGCACAGTGGTGGAAATAGGAGAAATAATGAGAAGTGACTTTCAAACTTGTGAAGAATAATGAAAGAGACCCCAAAAAGATGTTTAGCATAGAGGTGCCAGTGGAGTGAAAATCCCAGCCTATTTTTGTCTGTTCATCCTAAATATTTCCTATTGTGGGAATGACTGTGCAGTTTTTCATTAGCCAGGATTTAATGCTGTGTAGTACAGAGTTCTTGAAAGAGTCCTACAGGGGTGTTTTCAACGTAAACGGGAAGAAGTCATAGCAGGATGAGTGGAGAATAAATTACGTAGTCGACTGTGACATTGGTAACATCGCTAAGCCCGAGTTCCAGTTTAATGTGTCACAAGAAATGTCAGATCAAACTGCTGCAGCTCGGAAGGTGCTGTTTCAAGATGTCGATGTAAAAGATTTCCAGCAGTTTGTGAGGACTCCTTGATTCTTTGGCGTTGAAGATACAAAAAGCTTTGTACATTTCTGTAATTCCTAGTGATTTATTTTTCGTCTTAAAATGAAGTGTTGGAGATTTGGAGCGGGAGGCTAGGGCGCATGACTCGGCCCCGTGCTGGGTGGGGGTGTCCCTCGGAGCAGGGTCTTCTGCAGAGGTTGTTTGCGCCTGAGTCTGTGGGACACAAGCCCCAGGCCCGGGCTGCCTTCCTGCAGGGCAGGCGGCCTGCAGCCTCAGCTCTCCTCGCTCAGTGCCTGCGCCTCCAGAGAAAATCCCACAAACTGCTGTTTGGTTTTGGCGGCTCAGGGAGGGTTCCCGTCAGGATTCCCAAGCATCTCATGGGGGAAGTGAGTGGTCCGGTTGCAGGAATGTGAAGGAATGACTGGGTCATTTTGAGAAGAGCTGCTGTCAAGGCCGTGCTTTTGTGCTTACAGAGGAGAGCCAAGAGTCTGTGGGTTGCGTGGGTGGTGGGGATGCACTCCCTTGGCGAGCCACTGCGATGCCTGTGCACACACTGCGCGCCATGTCCCCTGTGCCTCCTCTGAGGGGAGATTCCTAGTGACATCACTGGCTCTGTGAAATTGAGAATTTACATCTGTACACAAAAGGTGAATTTTCTAGCAAAATGAGGGGATTTTATTATAAAAAGTCAGCATATTTCATATTTATTTATAAGGGGGAGAGAGAGAGGTTCCATCTGCTGGCTATGCTCTAAATGCCTACAACAGCCCACAGTCAAGACGGGACCCGGCTGAGGCCAGGAACTGGAAAGTCATCCTGGGTCTCCCACATGGGTGGCAGGGAACCAAGTACTTGAGCCATCACCTGCTGCTTCCCAGGGTGTGTGTTAGCAGGAAGTTGGAATTGGAAGCAGAACCAAGACATGATCCCAGGTACTCTGATATGGGATGCAGGTGTCCCCAGCAGTCTGTTAACCAGTGAGCCAAATACCTGCCCCTGTGAGTGGAGTATTTTTTTGTCATGTACAGTGAGTGCTAAAACTTTTCTTTGTGCTAGGCCACAAAGGGACAGGGTTTTGGTAAAGGAAATGAATGTTTAAATTCTACTTTCCAGAATTTCCCCCTCTACACTCTGGCATTAGTGTCTCCTGTCCTGGTCCTTCCTTTTTAGAAGCCCCTCCCATGCACCAGCAGGACTCTGGTGTGATGTAGATCTGGATTGCTGTCTGGGAACGTGCACAGCAGGCTTCTCTTAGCTGCAGTAGAAGACTACCTGGAACTCGCGAGGGCCTCGCCGCAGAGCCGCCCCTGAAGCTGTGGCTGGGTCCTTGTGATTCAGCTTTTGCTTTGCTTCTGCCCCACCCCTCCAGGCTGCTGAGGGCCCTGTGCCATAAGACGCCTGTGCAGCCAGCAGGCCCCCAGGTTGCGTGCTTACCCTGCAAGGTGAGGGCTGATGGCAGACACTGTTGTCTACGGAGGCTGCAGAGCGGTGCATGTGCTGCCCAGTCAGGAGCTTTGGCTGATGCAAGCGGCCTGTCCTATTCTCTGGTGCTGGTGGCTCGCCTGCAGGGATGATGGTTGCAGCGCAGTAACTGCCTCCAGGGCTGGGTAGATTGCCCCCCCCCCTTTATTTTCAGTGTCAGATGATTTGATTCAGGTTTTTCACCTGCTTTTGAAATCTTAGATTTGGAAGAATTCCTGAAGATGCGCCAGTAGAGTCCCTACTTTCTGCAGATGAGGCCAAGGCCTAGAGAGCCTGACTGTCTCTCCCACCGTCCCACAGTTCCCGAGATGCAAAACGGGCGAAAGATGAGCCTTCCTTGCTCCTGGCTCTTCTGCTGGCCACCATTTGTCTCATTTGCAACCACGAAGACCTAAACAAAGGGAAAAGGCCCATGTGTCCTGCAGAAGTGTATTATTCCCTTTCTACTCTTCAGTGATTATGCTGTCTCTCTTGTGGATTTCATGGTAACAGCCCTAAGTCAGAAGTTAGTACAAGGGAGACAAGTTGGGTCTGGCATTGTGGCATCATGAGTAAAGCCACCGCCTGCAGTGCTGGCATCCGTTATCGGTGCCAATTCCCATCCCAGCTTCTTTGCTTCTGATCCAGCTCCCTGCTTATGTACCTGGGAAAGCAACGGAGGATGATCCAAGTCCTTGGGCCCCTGCACCCAAGTGGGAGATCTGGAAGAAGCTCCTGGCTCGTGGCTTCAGCCTGGCCCAGCCCCAGTAACTGTGGCCATTTGGTAGTGAACCAATGGGTAGAAGATCTCCTTCTCTGTCTTTCCTCTCTCTGTATATAACTCTGACTTTCAAATAAACAAACAAATATTAAAAAACAAAGCAAGTCCCCAGTTTGTTGCGTGGATGAAGTCAGGTCTGTGCTTGACTAAACGTGGTGCAGTTTTCCTTCCAGGGAAGATGTCGTTGATTTTCCTCCTAATACTTGACAATTTCTGTCTCGCATTTTTTCCTGTTTGTTTAGAAGAAAGATTGTATTCCTACAAAAAAAAAAAAAAAAAGCTGAAGGAGAGAGGAAAGGAGGGGAGTAATAAGGGGAAGAGAGAGAGAGAGAGAGGGAGAGAATAGAGGAGGGGCGGGAGGCAGGACTGGATTCCCTTGAGCCAAGGTGTTTGAAGCCTGTTCTTCAGACCTCTACAAAAATGCCTGGATTTTTGTGTGTCGCTTTGTCTGCTGGCTGTGTGAACTCCTGGCTTTTTTGGTTAATAAGCATCGGTGAGGTTGGGCAGCACTTCCTGAGTCTGGCTGGCATCTCTTCTTGGAACAGGCAGAGACTGTAACAACGGTGGAACAGAATTTGGGGATCACTGATTGGGGAGGTGCCACCTCAGAGCGTGCCAGTGTCCCTGTTCTGCCCCCGCTTTCTAAGGGAGTCTGACTGCCTGTGCTGGGGAGCCGTGGTTTCCCTGCTGTCGCTCAGTCCTCCAGGATGCCGGCATGCGAAAGGGAAGGTGGGCAGACGGGAGAGGTGGCTGGCGCTCTGATGTGGCCCCGCTCAGGAAGTGATCGATCCTCTTGGGCCATGGTCACTGGGAGAAGGGGAGGGTAGTTTTGCCTCTCCACCTGCCGTAGGTTCTTGACGCTGAAGGCATTTTTAGTTATCAGAGCTCCCCAGGGTGTGGACAGGGGCTGCTGCTGGCGTGGGGTAGGTAGGTGGGGCTGGGGTGCTCTTCGCATCCTGTAGTGTGAGCGTTGGCCTAGCTCTGCTCAGGAGGAAAAGCCCTGCTCCCCTGGGAACCTCGCTCTGGCCCCTTTCCAGATGACTCTTCAGTCTTCATCTGGCCCAGGCCGGCTCCCAAAACAAGGAATTATGTGGCTCCAAATGTCAGTGATGCAGGGCTGTGAGACCCTGCTTTGAAATGAGCGGATCAGAATTGTAGTGCGCAGTTCCCCTGCACCTCCCCGCTCCCCATCCGGGTCCTTTAGGCCCTCTGTGCTGATGCTGTCTGTCACTCCTCAGGGTGCTTGGCTTCCTGTTTTGTCCTTTGACCATGAAGGGGGCCCATCTCAGAAAGCCCCAGCCCCACTAGGTTCTCCTGCTTCTTTCACCTGTCCCAAACCCCATCTTAGCTGACCCATGGAGTGGTCTCCAGTGGTAAATTTGCAGCTTCAGCAAGTACGACAGATTGCCTGGGGGCCCTCAGATGATGCTGTCCTGGTGCCTGCCGCAGAGGCCCCTCTGCCTGGCTGCCCTGTTACCCCGCAGAGGCCCCTCTGCCTGGCTGCCCTGTTACCCCGCAGAGGCCCCTCTGCCTGGCTGCCCTGTTACCCCGCAGAGGCCCCTCTGCCTGGCTGCCCTGTTACCCCGCAGAGGCCCCTCTGCCTGGCTGCCCTGTTATCCTGCCTCCCAGTGCTTGCTCTGGTCCACGTCACAAGTCACAGGTGCTCCTGGTGTCAGCACAGGCAGCCTGGATGCTCGGCTTCTCTCTGGTTCCTCAAGAGGCCACACTGCTGGGAGTTCTAGCTTTGTGCTGCAGTGAGCACTCCTGGAGCTCACATGCTGAGACCTTCCCCCTGGTCAGGGCTGATTTAGTTAAAGTTATTCTGGCATCCTGTTTGTCTTGTTTATGGGGAAAGAATAGAGAATTTTATAATGATACCAAGTTTTCTTCACTTATCTTTGTTATTATTGATTTCCTAGCATGAAAACAGTGGGTGCCCTCAGGCACGAAAGGTTACGGAAAAGGATTTCCTGCTAGGCACATGAGACGGGGATTTTAAGGCCATTGTGACCCCTTGATGCCCCTCACTCACGTAGCTGTCATGCGTGTTTCTTTATAGCTTTCTCAAATAATGCTAGGAAAGATAATTTGATAGCGTATTTAAGGAAATAATATTTTGGAAAGGCAGCAATGACCTTTTTTTTTTAAATTCTGCCTTCTCCCAAAAAGAATTTATATTGAAGGGAGCAATTTATTCCATGGAAGGACAATAACTTAGCTATTTAAAAATAGCTCTAGGTGGATTTATCAATGTCACAGGCACAGAGTAAGACAGATGATTGCTGTGTGTGTGTGTGTGTGTGTGCGCTCCATGCTAATGGCTGACACATAAATGCTACAGGAAATGAGAATAGTGGGGCAGTGACAGAAAGCTTGGGGGGTCACAAGGGGTGCACATCCCAGAGGACACGGACAGGGAACAGGAAGTGAAAATATGCCTGTCAGTGTTCCACGAGCATTCAAAACGAGCCCAGTTATTTTAGTTATAAAATGCCTTGACAACTTGTCTCTAATAGATGGCGTCTCCCAGAGGAGATGCTGGATAAATACCAGCCACCATTAGTGGCGCTGGTACAGCTGGGCAGGCTGTCCTCCCGAGAGATGTCCCGTTCTTGCACATGGACACTCTTCTTTGGCTACCTCTAACAGAGTTCCCAGTTTTCATAAAAAGACGTGGCTTTGTCGGACACTGGCATGCTTATGGACAGTACTTGCTTTGTGCTGTGGCTGGGGTATAATGTGGGGAGGGGAGACCTGAGTGACAGGACTTCACTTTCTCTGCAGGTTTGAAATGCTCCTTCCTTAGCTCGGAGAGTGGAAAGTTCCCCTGGTGCTTGGGAGTGAGAGTTAGGGTGTGATAACCAGGGACAGAGTGGCTGCACTTGGCCTGCCCGGAGTTGGGAAGCCGGGTCAGAAGAAGCACACTGCACCAGCATCGGCCCTCCCAGCTGGCCGCTGGGTGCCAGGACTGTAAGAGGAGACTTCTGCATGTCTGTGAGCAGCTGCTGCACGTTTCCTTTTCCTGGAATCAGTGTTAGAAACCCTAGAGAACTATGGCCCGTGTCCGACTTTGTAGAAAATGGGAAAAGCGGGCAGTGTGGGTTTTACAGTACATCCCCTGAGGCTGAAAGATACACCATTCTCCTCCTAGAGTTCACTTTGAATTGTGTAAATGTGTAGGTTTTACTGAGTAATTTGCAAATGTACATGTGATCACAAAAGCAATTAAAATACCAAGCCTCAGGACTCAAAGCATCAATGTTCAAAGTTTTCTGCAGACAGATATAATCCAGAAAGCTCCCGTAGAAGAGGTGTGCTGTGCGTGCCAGAAAGAGGGAATGCCAGAACCATGCCAAGAGCGCACGTGGAGGCCGAGCCAGGGCTAGCTCTGCTGAGCACGTGTGTGCTGGCATGCAGCTAGTGGGCACGCAGGTGCTTAGCAGGGAGCCGAGTGTCCTGTGACAGATGAAGAGCTCAGAGAGGCATCTATGCTCCCTGCATCTGTCAGTGAGTTTGAAAGCCTCACCAGCCCCACAGAGCAGCTTCCAGGCTTGTTGGAGTCTTCATGTGTCTGTGTCCAGTGGCAGCCCAGTGGGTGCGGCCTCATTTGCAGAATGCCCAGTCCATGTGACCACAGCGGCCTGGCTCTGTGCAGGCTCCCTGAGCCCTCACTGGCAGGCCTCTCCTCCTTGGACTGGGTACTCAGTCAGACCTCCCAAGGGGTGCGTTCTGTGAGTTTTATTTTGGGTCTTCGACGTGAAAAGCGCGGAGGTGAATATCCACAGCTGAGTCAAGAGGGTCTGCCGGCCAGGTGTCGGAGTAACAGACGCATGTAGGGAATGGGATCGCTGCGGCAGAAGCTGGGCAGGTGCCCTACCTGTCCCTTCCCGATGGCCACTTTGGTTGGGCACCTGCGATGGGAGCTTGACCTTCCCTGTGCCTTCTCACCGTGGGAGGCTCTGCAGAGCCAGTTCTGTGCTGGTTGCTGCAAGGACTCCTGACGGCTGTGCCTTGTCTTGCCGTCCTTCCTCCTGTCCAGGGCCTCCGGCACGTCTAAGACAGACGATGGGTGGGTCTCGTCTCCCAGGGCAGGAGCCTGCCTGCTGTGTGTATTTTCAGGGGAGGGCTCAGTCACATGACTGCTGTACAGTGCTCTGGCTGTCTTTGCGTTGCTGCCTGTTCAGTGAGTAGAGCTTTGCTCTTGTAACTTCTGATATGATAAGATTTCCTTTTACGCAAGCAGAGGTCGTGTCTCCAGGGGAAGAGGTTGTGTTATCTACTAGTGCACGACAGATCCCTGCAAAACGCTGCAGCTGAGGGCAGCACACAGGCAGCAACACGCAGTGTGGGTCTGGAGCCGGTGGAGCGGGCGTGGTGCTGCCAGGCACTCTGCCGCAGGGCCTCCGCAAGGCCCAGCCGGGTATCGGCCAGGACTGTGGAGGAGCCGTCCTCACACTGGCCTGTCTGGGGTTGGTGGCTTCAGCTCCTCACAGCATTGGGTTGTAGACTGCCGACAGGCCTTGCCATATAGTGTTTCCCACGGGTCGGCTTGCTTCGTGAGAGCCAACGAGAGCAAGCCTGATGGGTGGACAGAAGCCACCATCATCTGTAAGCTAGCTGTGGACGTCCTCTTGGCCTGGCTGTAGGGCTTGTTAGAAGCAAATCCCTGTCCCATTCCCTGCTGGAAGACAGAGCACAGACGGCCTGGGCAGCCAGAGGCGGGCATCACTGTGCCATCTGAGGCTAATCGCCACAGACGGTGAGTAGCACACAGTCACCCAACCCCTCCAGCACATGCAGACAGCTCCAGGAACAAGTGCAGCTGTTGGGTTGCAGCTGGGGAAGCTCATCCTCTGTCCCTCAGTTCCTTCACATGCCTTGCACGCGTGCTTTACGTGGGCACGGGGCGGGTGCTGTCTGCCATAGTAGATGGAGGTTGAGGAACTCTGTCATTAGGGTGTGGCACGGTTCAGTCTGTGAGAGCTGTGTGCAGGGAGCTGGGGGCCAGTGCAGACAGCGAGCGCCCTGGCTGCATCCTCCGTGTGGCCGGGCTCACCAGCTGTGAGCAATGCTGGCGCTGAGGTTCCTGGGGACGAGCGGACATTCGGGAGAGAGGCAGTGAGGCAGGAGGGTGATGTTTCAGAAGGCAGGCACGGGGTGTGCGTGGTGTACGGTAGCAGCCTTGGCCCTCCAGGAAATTCTGAGGCACGTTCTGTGCTCCTGAGGCACTGCAGCCAGTCTGTGCACATCGCAGTGAAGCTCCGTGTTAGTGGCTTGTTTTGTTTTAGTCATATGTTGTTTTCAATTTTTGCCGAAAAGTTTGTTAAATTGATGGTTCTGCCATCAGTGCAGGTCTAGAATGAATGTAAAATGGTATTTCATTTAAAAGAAAACGGAATACTTTGTTTATGTTATTGTAATTCCAGCAAAAAAAAATTCTCGGTGTGGCCGAACAAAAACTGATCTTAGAGGCCAGGGCCGTGTGCGACCTGTGATGCTGGCGTCCCGTATGGGCACTGGTTCCAGTCCCAGCTGCTGCACTTCTAATCCAGCTCCCTGCTAATGTGAGAGAGCAGCGGAAGATGGCCCAAGTGCTCGGTCCCTTGCCACCCACATGGAAAACATAGATGCAGGTAGAGAATCCTGGTCTCACCTAGCCCAGCCCAGCTTTTTTGGCCATCTGGGCAATGAGTCAGTGATAGAAGAGTTTCTCTTTCTTTCTCTTTGTCATTCTTTCAAATAAGTAAACCTTTTAGGGAAAAAAGGGTGATCTTAAAGATTTTCTAGAACAAATCATTGAATTACTAGAGGCATTTACTTTAATTTTTTTCCTTTTTATATAAAGGGAACATATTTCAAGTATTTCATATACAGGTTTAAGAATATAATAATTCTTTCCACCCTACCTTCCCTTTCTCACCCTCACCCTCCCTCCCTCCTTTTCTTGTTTTTTTTTAATTTTTTCAGTTACATACTTTCAGTTTACTTTACAATCACAAGCTCAACCCTCCAGTAAATAAAGAGCTCAACAAGTAGGAAGTAGAAAAAGCGCAGTCCCTCAAGAGTAGAGTCAAGGACTATAGACAATAATCAAATGTAAAAATGTCAAGTTCATTTATAAATTACCTTTTTGTACCCTGCAAATTAGTTAACACAAGTCAGGGAAAACATAGTATTTGTCTGTTGGGGGCTAGTTTATTTCACTAAGTGTAAAGGCTTTTAAAATGATTTATATTCATTTATTTGAAAAGGGGAGAGATAGGAGGAGAGTGAGAAAATGGGGAGGGAGGCAAAAGGGGAGGTGAGGGGAGATCTTGCTTCTGCTGGTTCACTCCCCAAATGTCCAGAACACCCAAGGCTGGGCCAGGCCAAAGCCTGGAGCCAGTAACCCCATCTTGGTCTCCCTCATGGGTAACAGGAACTGAAGTACTTGAGTGATCACCTGCTGTCTCCCAGGGCGTTCCTTAACAGGAAGCTGGACAGGACTGAGACTATTCCGGACTTGAACTGGCTTGTTTTATACATGAGGCACATGTATAATGTAAAGCTGCATATATGTGCCCATGCAGTGAGGCAGAATACAGCAACCACAAGCCAGAACCAAAACAAGACAGGAGACGGCAGAGAGGCCCAGGGTCTTCTCCATTTGTCTGATGAAGCCATGACTGCCCCCATGCAGATGGGGGCCTTGCAGTTGGAGGGAGGTCAGTGCTAGCCAGGATTAGCCAAGGGGACCCCTCCAAGTGCACACGCCCTCCAAGGAGCAGAGCCTTCCCGTCTGGGGTCCCAGGCGTGTGCCTACGAGCCATGGCTGGCAGTGTGGCAGGCAGTAGTGAGCACTGGAGTGCACAAGGCGGGAGTGAAGAAAGCCTCCAGAGGCTGAGAGGGAGAGGAACCATCCCACCCAGGGCCCCAAGAGCAAGGCAGCCTGGTGCAGCCCCTGATCACGTGGTGGACCCCAGGCGTGCTTCTCAGCCCTGTGGGACTCAGTCCCCATGTGCTGTTTCAGGCTGCTGAGTACGGAGCAGTTTGCTGTGATGCAGTGGAATCTAAGGCACTTTGCTATTAGCTAGCACTGTTGATGCATCTAAACTGTGTCAAAAATGGTTCTCGGTTCCCACTGGTTTTCTTACTATTTAGGAGAAGCCGGTGTTTGTGGATAGAGTTAGGGGTGTCCAGTGTGCATTTATGTAGTCATTCCTCAACCTAATGTTGATTCGCTTTTCATAATACATATTGCTGTGCTCCTTGTTTTTATACCATGTTTCTAGTCTGCACCTCATGAGCATAGACACGCGTGATCAGGCACAATAGACCATGCATTTACCCCAAACAGCACATTGCTCACCTGCCTCTTTTTAAAGAGATCTGGGCTTGAAATTGATAAACAATGATTTCGAAAGCACTGTTTTAAAAATTTACTTATAAATGTAGGTAGTTCGGGAATCAGAATGCAAGCTTGATGAGAACAACCTTTTGATTCCAGAAGGCTCCATGTCAGCCAAGTTGTGCCTGAGCCATGAATTACAGACCACTGAGCCACGCTGGCTCTCAGTGGAGACTGATGTGGCTGTTGGGGCATTTTAAAGATTCAGCATGTAAGATGGTCACATATGATGAAGGTTTGGATTGCCAGCCAGATTTTCAGGTTCTCACATGTTAGTTCTGGGTCTGTGTTGCTGCACCTGAGCGGTGAAGTGGGGCTAAGACAGCAGTAGCCTCCCTGTGAGCGCACTGTTCACCTCCTCGTGGCCCAGCCCCGACACTCTGCAGTTCCAGGAAGAAAGCTGAAGTGCAGATAAATGCCAGACTTTTTATCAGCAGTCTACCCCATCTGTTTACTTGATCTGTCTGATCCATGATTTGAAGCACTTTTAGTCTGTAGAACTAAGTGATCATAAATATGGTCACTTGAGCCATGAAGATTTTAATGTAGAAATAACGTCAAGCCGGTTCCGCGGCTCAAATAGGCTAATCCTCCACCTACCGGCGCCAGCACACCGGGTTCTAGTCCTGGTCGGGGTGCCGGATTCTGTCCCAGTTGCCCCTCTTCCAGGCCAGCTCTCTGCTGTGGCCAGGGAGTGCAGTGGAGGATGGCCCAAGTGCTTGGGTCCTGCACCCCATGGGAGACCAGGAGAAGCATCTGGCTCCTGGCTTCGGATCAGCATGGTGCGCCGGCTGCAGCACGCCTGCCGCGGCGGCCATTGGAGGGTGAACCAACGGCAAAGGACGACCTTTCTCTCTGTCTCTCTCTCTCACTGTCCACTCTGCCTGTAAAAAAAAAAAAAAAGAAATAACGTCAAAGGGTTGGCCTCTTTATAGGTCACATCTCTACCAAATCCCCAAGTCATACTGAAATAAACCTTGGAAGGACCAGCAGACACTTGGAGTCAGAGACGCATGTCCACATGCACATTCACGTGTGTACACACGTGTGTACACACAGGCACAGACACACGTATCTATAGAGAGACAGAGAGCTCCCATGTACTGGCTGACTCCCCAGATGTCTGCATTTGCTGTCTGGAGACCCAGGAGCCAGTAACTCTGTCCAGGTCGCCCACGTGGGTGGCAGGAACCCGGTACCAGAGCCATCACCTGCTGCCTCCCTGGGTGGACGTTATCAGGGAGCTGGAATTGGAAGTGGGGCTGAACTCAAATCCAGGCACTTCAATGTAGGATGCTGGTCCCAAGTAACTTATTAACCAGTGTGCCAAATGACCACCCCAGTTGGCCAGTTGGAATAATTCAGAGAAATTTAATTCTTTGGAAATTTGCAGAACAAATTGTTTAGACCAAGATGCATAGAACATTCATTGATAAACTAGAAACAGTTCATGAAGATAAGCTGTTGGGAGCTGGAGATTGTTTTAGTGCTGAATGGCTATGCATTAGTCTGCCTGAGCTGCGTAGACCGGGCAGGGGCAACCTCAGAAACTCCTTTTCTCACTTTGCTGGAGGCTGGAATTCCAGGTCAGGGCGGGTGCTCTTCTTAGGATGGAGAACTGCTCTGGGGCCACAGCAGGGTGCGATGTAGGGGCACCCAGTGCCCAGGTGAAGCTGGATCTCTGCCCTCCAGCCACCCACTCTGCACTCAGGATTCCTGGCAGAAACATGCCATGGTGTTAGCTGGTATTGCAAGGCCTTGAACTTGTGCGTGGCAGGTGATTGGTGGGAGTGGTCTCTTTGGGATTCCATGGTTGCTGAAGCCTCCGACCTCCTGTGGAGACTCAGGCAGTGGATGCTGTTCCCAAAACAGCAAGGCAGTTCAGGTGCTGCGTGACAGGTGGAGGGAGGGTGCTTGGGTGCTGTTGCAAGGAGGCTCTGTCACGTTGAGGGCACTGTGGAAAGGCAGGTGCTGTTATTGTTCTCACTGCCGTTGTCCCAGTGTGAACTTCCATTTTCACCTGCACGTTTCAGATACTCCACTACCTCCCTGCTGGTAATTTTTTGGGCCTTCCTTATGACCTCAGCTTTGTGCCCAGCACTGTTTTCCTATGTGGTGTGGTCATCTCCCTCTCAGGAAGCTTTGGTGACGGCATCTCACGCATATCGGCACACGCACACAACTGAGCAAGACACCCTTGCAGCTTCACGTGTCTCCTAGGAAGTGCAGGCTCCTGCTGCGCTCTGCCAAGCTAGGATGAGGTACCACACAGTATGCATGCGCTGACGGAACTGGCGTCAGCCCCTGTCCTCAAACTGGGGTGAGCTGCAGGTCTTCAGGGATGAGGGCGAGGAGGGAAACAGGATGTGAGTGACTGACAGTCATCTGAAGTCTGTCAGCTGACTTCAAAACGTGCTTAGCTCTGCGTGGACTCGACAGAAGACTCTCCCTGGAGACTCCTGGTGGGAGGAGGCTTGAGCTTCCAACAGGTGTCTGTCCCTGTGTCCAGCTCTCCTCATCAACCCCAGCTGCCCCTTCCACACAACGGGCCATGTCCAAAGTCCTGGCGCCTCCACTGCCCCTTCCTGTCTCAGCCAGGGGGACACAGTGGTCACATTGGTGAGGCCAGGAGCAGTGGCCACACCTCTCCTTTCACCCTTCCAACCACACTGCACACCAGCTAGTGACCAGCAGCCAAATGACAGCACCTGCCTCTGTGGGATTTCACGACCTGGCCTGTCCTACACTGTCCCAGAGGTGTCTTTGCTTGCAGTGGTTCTCACCGCACAACAGCTCCCTGTGCCTTTTCCCTCGCTCCCTGCGAAACTCCTCACCTTCCATGGCTTCCTAAGCCTGGTCCCACCTGTGTGAAGCGTGAGTTAATGTGAAGGTGTGAGTTAATTTAGCAGCCAGTGGCATGGAACACATGGATTTACCACTCACCTTGCATGTCATGGGATGGCATTTCAATAGGTTCCTTCATCTGCATCTGCACAGTTCTGAATCCAGCCCCTGCAGTTTTGTATGAGTTGTTACACATCTGTCTCCCCCATTGGATGAGCTGATGCTTGAAGCCAGACTTCCTGTCCATTCCTCTCCAGCAGCACATTTCTCTATTGCTATAGGTGACAGAGCCAAGTCAGGGGGTTGAGTAACTGGGTGAGTCCTCAGGTGTGTGTGAGTGGGGTGATTACCAGGTACTCAGGTGTGTGTGAGTGGGGTGATTACCAGGTCCTCAGGTGTGTGAGTGGGGTGATTACCAGGTACTCAGGTGTGTGTGAGTGGGGTGATTACCAAGTCCTCAGGTGTGTGTGAGTGGGGTGATTACCAAGTCCTCAGGTATGTGTGAGTGGGGTGATTACCAAGTCCTCAGGTGTGTGTGAGTGGGGTGATTACCTAGTCCTCAGGTATGTGTGTGTGGTGACTGAGTCCTCAGGTGTGTGTGAGTAGGGTGATTACCAGGTCCTCAGGTGTGTGTGAGTGGGGTGA